AAAAATTCAAATATTACAATGGAATTGTCGATCTTTTAATAAAAATAGGGCAAACTTGCAGAATTATTTAAATACATCACCAACTGACATAATCATTTTGTCAGAAACATGGAAAAAGCCGACTCAAAACTTAACAATGAAGGGATACAATACAGTTCACATAGACCGTCCAGATGGAACAGGTGGCGTAGCTATCCTGATTTCCAAGAAAAATATATTTCGGAATATTACATTGAAAAAAAACTATCATAAATACATTGAAATCTGTGCGGTATATATAGAGCAGATCAACCTCTCTGTTTTGTCAATTTATAAACCACCAAATGCACGTGTCAAAAGAAAAGACTGGGAAAATATTTTTTCTCAATTTCAAAGTCCAGTTTTATTTTGTGGGGATTTCAACTGTCATGCAACACTATGGGGTTCAAATAATGATACGGTTAGTGGTAGGGAATTGGTCGAAGCAATCGATAACTATAACTTGGTCGTGCTCAATGATGGAACACCTACAAGAGTAACTAGGCCGAATCAATGTCCTTCTGCCGTTGACTTAAGCATTGCATCTGTTAACCTAATCAGTAAATGTGACTGGCAAGTACTATCTGATACTTGGGGATCTGATCACTACCCAATCTTGATCAATTTTGAAGTTGATATTCTACCTGTCTAAATTAACCCTACAACAAAATGGAACGAAAAATCCGCCAAGTGGGATAGGTTTCAGTCATTTTTAGCAAACTTAGATTTCGAAGCAACAGAAATCAACACAGGAACGAATGATAAATGTTCTTGTTTTCTGGATACTATTACAGAAGCAGCTTCTCAGTCAATGATCAAGAAATTGCTCTTTCAACCTTTCGACCATTACCCACTAAAATATGGCAATTCATGAAAAAAATATCAAACAAAAATTATCAGATGGGTAGGACAACATTGCATCCGGAATTGATCGATAGGCTTTTGGATAATCTTGCCCCAAGTTTTGCTATAATCAGAATAAATGAGCCAAATAGCAATTCTGCACATGAGGAATTTTATGAAAACTTCACAATGGAATAATTGGAGAATGTCATTGAATTAACTAATAGTTCATCGCCAGGCATAGGCAGTGTCACGTACAGGATAATTGGTTTACTCCCTCTAAATGCGAAGCAATATTTATTAATAAAATTTAATGGTTGAAAGGTGAATTCTCAAACAATTTGAAAAACATTAATACAACATTTATTTCAAAACCAAGTAAGGATAAAATACTACCCTCCTCATATAGACCTATTGCCCTTATGTCATGCCTAACAAAGATTTTTGAGAGGATGTTGAAATAGAGATTGGAATTACATGTGGAGAAAAATCTATTTCCAGTTACTCAGTTCGGTTTTCGAAGAGGTTTGGGCACAATTGATGCCGTAGCAGATATAGTTACTGATATAGAAATCAATTTTTCTGATAATACGATATTAGCCTGCTTTTTCTTGGATCTGAAAGGGGCATATGATTCTGTGGACTTATATATTCATGAGGAGAAGTTGTATCACTTTGGGTATCGATATAAAGGCTGCCTGCAGGATTATCGAGCTATATCGTGAGACAAGTTTTTGTGAGAGATTCCCACAACCTTTTGCATGGACCTAGATTTGTTTCTCAAGGATTACCACAGGGATCAGTGATGAAGCCCATTTCATTCAACGTGTATGACATGTTTGATAATTTAATCAGTCATACAATATGCAGAGTCTGTATATACATACACGGTTCATAAATCATACGGTGAATGTATATCGGACCTAAAATGCATAATGTACTGCTTAAAGAATTGGCTCACACAACATGGATTCACACTTTCTGTCAAAAAATCATGTATCACATTTTTCTCCAGACTGCGCCTCTCTACTCCAAATGAAATAAGATTATGTGTTATTGATATACCAATGTAGCACGAGCATTTAGGTATGGTTTTAGACGGAAAACTTATCTGGACGTCTCATATTAAGCATGTGCAAAAAAATATGGAAAAGGCATGAACATGTTAAGATGTGTAGCAAACACTAAGCAAGGTGCAGATCCAAAAATAGCACTAATGTTTTATAGGACCTATCGTCGAATATGGATGTGTGTTGTATGGTTCATCATCTTCCACAAATTTAACCTCTATTGATATAATTCAATATAGGGCAATACGAATATGTATGTGATAAAATTAGATCTTCTCCATGTCCTCCAATTCTAGCAAAGGTACAAGAGCCACTTCTACATATAAAAAGACAACTCTTGGTATACAAGATGTTAGTAAAAAAAATGAGGTTTTCATCAGATGGGTTCACAGACAAGGTCTGTAGTCTACCTGTAAAAAATTTTACAAACAACTATTGGAGAAAAAAAATAGTCCAATAGTCCACCTCTTGCAGAGGCCTTTAAAGAGATGAAGTATATCGGAGCCTTGCCAACACCCGATAGGTTTCCCCTTTAATATCTCAAAATAGTGTTCAAGCCCATTGTCATATTTTCCCAATATTCGAAAACTCGTAGCATAAATAATAACCTCATCAAAACTTTGCTCAGTGACTATAAGCCTAATGTAGAAATTATTTACACTGATGGCTCCAAAACTGAGTTAGGTACTGGATGTGCTTTTTGCGTTTCAACCACCAAAGTGGCTCACAAAGTTCGAATATCTAATGATGTATCTATTCACACAGCTGAGGTTTATGCGATAGAGAGGGCATTACTGTGGATAACGATCAACAGGGTGAGCGAATCAATTATCTTGTCAGATTCTAAATCAGCACTAGATTCTATCAGTCATCAAATTATGAAAAAGTATGGATTAAAAAATATGATAATGTATTGCTTTGAAACATCAGAAGACACATAACATACATTCTATTATTTCTTTTTCAGGTTAGAGTTAGATTCGTTTGGGTGGGTGAAAGGTCATGCAGGAATAATGGGCAATGAGTTGACCGATCGCACTACCCACTTAAGTGAAAAAGAAAAATAAAAGAAAAAGAAAAGTACCAAGGTTTTATGCCGTCAAAATAACACGGCTCAAACTCAATCACGGAATTTGACACATAAAATCATCTTTGAAAAAGAAAATTATCAGGAATATACAAAAATATCTTACCGAATGGTATACAACAAATGAGATTTGTTGAAATCATACGGAATATATATTAAATTTAATGCTGTGAACTCAAACGTTCTTCTCGTGTAGAAGACCTATAGATGCAGATTAACAGAATATTCAAAGACTTCAAATCAATGTCGCCAGACAAATGCAGAAGTCTGTAATTTTTGGCTCATCGCATCTACTAATTATCATCTCAGTGTGTGAAGTGATCATTGGTTAATGATGCCGGTACGCCCTCCGTATATATCGGAGCTTCGAAAAGAAAGTATTGAGAACGATTTTCTAAGCTCACTAACGGGACACTTTCAATCAATATTTAAAATAATGTAACGAATTAAAGAATTAACTGTCTTAAACAAATTTATTTTTAACAATATTTCACTTTCACCACTAATTTATATACAACACTTAGCAACTAACGCTTAATTTATCTTCACTGTTCGAATTCTTTGTTAACCGTTCGATTCGCTTTCTGAATTCAGACTGCCATCTCGGGACGAGAAGCGAGCCTTATAAATCGGTAACGACCGTGCTATATTTCTCTAGTTGTTTCGGTAGTGGCCTAGACTGTTCGCGGCGACTTGTCGACTTCATTCTTTTCGCGGTGAGTCATGAGTTTATTTGCTGGCTGAGATATCGGTCAGGGCCGGCTTCAGAATCGTTACAATAAGTTATTAATGCTCAATTTAATGTGACGCAGTAACATCATAACGAGAATATTCGAATATTGAAGTTGATGACCGCTTGTTTTTTACATCAAGGTCAAAATTTAACAGTGGTGCCAATCTATTCGGTTGAGGCAACTCAAAGACCAGTTTCATAAAACACGAAGTTGAGATGTATCACAAAACACCCAATGGAAAAGAAATTGACAGGTCTGAGTTAGGTACTGGATGTGCTTTTTGCGTTTCATCCACCAAAATGGCTCACAAAGTCCGAATATCTAATGATGCATCTATTTATACAGCTGAGATTTACGCGATAGAGAGGGCATTACTATGGATAACGAGCAACAGGGTGAGCGAATCAATTATCTTGTCAGATTCCAAATCGGCACTAGATTCTATCAGTCATCCAATCATGAAAAAATATGACAATGTATTGCTTTGCAACATCAGAAGACACATACATACTATCATTTCTTCTTCAGGTAGAGTTAGATTCGTTTGGGTGAAAGGTCATGCGGGAATACTGGGCAATGAGTTGGTCGATCGCGCAGCTAAAGAAGCTACCCAATTAAGTGAAAAAGAAAATATNTTTGCTATCAGTGCAGATTGTTATGTTTTTGCCAGAAATTCTTTTCTTGGTTATTTCTTTTGTGGCGATTGAGATACCAGCCAGTTCTGTTTGGACCACGCTGGTATTTCTTCCCATTCCCCACTTAATTCTTAGGCTTAGTGATCTGGAATACACTCCACACCCTGGTTTTTGAGCCGTCTGTGTAAATCCTTATTGCATTTATATCATCTGACTTCTGCTTTATTTGTATTTTGTAGGGTTTAGTAAACACAAACCTGGGTTCAATTGCATCGCTTGTTGCCTGCAGCAGAGGTTGCGTAGTAAGAGCTTCCTGCCACGGGCCCAGCCTCAATTGACCCATTCCTACTTCGAGGTTTACACCATCCGTGCGCAATCGTACCATGGCCATCAAGGCAACCTCCTTAACGTACAGATCAAGAGGGGTCGGGCCCGTGATCAATTCCATTGCCGTGGTTGGTGTTGTTCTCATGGCTCCTGTGATGTTTAAACAAGCCATTCGCTGTATTTGGTATAATTTTTGGAAGGCCGTTGCTTGTCGAACTTTCGGTCCCTATGCAATGGCTCCATTCGTTAAAATAGGTCTTATTATTGCAGTGTAGATCCAGGTGACCACACGGGGTGAAAGACCCCATGCGCGTTCCATTGTCCTCCGACATTGCTCATAAGCAACGTATGCTCTTTTTGCTCTACTCTGTAGATGAGAGTTCCATGTTAGCTTCCTGTCGAGGATAGTACCAAGATATTTCACCTCTTCAGAGAAGTTTAGTTTGCTTTTGAAGATTTCTGGAGGTTTGAAGCCCGTTAAACTTCTTTTCCTGGTGAAAAGGACCATCTCAGTCTTCTTGGGATTGATCGACAGTGAGTGTTCCTTACACCATGTTTCTATCAATTTGAGCCCATCCTGCGCTCTATCGCACAGTGTGTTTGCAAATTTGCCGGTCTGCAAGATAACTATGTCATCTGCGTATGCAATTGTGTGGAATCCATTTTTGTTAAGGTGATTAATCAAGGTATCCAGAACTATGTTCCAGAGAAGGGGTGATAAGACCCCTCCCTGTGGACATCCATAGTAATTTCAAAAACTACACCTCACGATTTGATCTCCACAAACTTTATTTGAAAAATATATCACAACATGTATAAATCACTTGAAAAAGCTACTGTGCTAGCGAAACATGTTGTGATATATTTTTCAAATAAAGTTTGTGGAGATCAAATCGTGAGGTGTAGTTTTTGAAAATATCATAATGATGAATTGACTTCCGATGACAACCCAGACAATGGCAAAGATGGTTAGAGTGGGGTACATGGCGAGAATGCATGTTGTGTGGTATGAAATACGAGGTGTGATAAAAAAATAAGATGAAGAATGTTCAAATTTCGCGGGCTGCAATCGTCTCGAACATATGTTCACAGTTTCAGCTGTTGAGCATGTTCAATTTGTTGGGAGAGGTGCATAAAAGTTAGAAGTGTTTTGCGTGTTCGGCAATTTTCTGCTATCGAAAAAATAATTTGCATTAAATTTTGTGTGAAAAATGGAATCAAGTGCTCAGAAACACTCGAAATGTTGACAGTAACATACGGTGATTGTACTCTGAGCCAGAAAAATGTGTACAAGTGGTACAAGTGGCACAGAAGGTCGAGAAGATGTGAATGACGACGCTCGCCCTGGACGCCCCAGCACATCAACAACCAATGAAAATGTTAAGAAAGTGAAGAAAATTGTTATAGAGTATCGTCGAATCACTATTGGAGAAGTTGCTGAGGATGTTGGCATATTGGTTGGCTCATGCCATGTAATTTTTTCTGACATCAAATGTCAAAGTTTTGCTCAAGAGGAAGAGGAATATCAAACAGTTTGATCTTCCTCTTGAAGATGATCACTTGATGATCGAAACACGTGTCGAGGTGTTAAAATGACGGTTTGGTTTTGGAAAAAAACTCCAGTAATATTCATTACTACACTAAAGGTTCCAAACAGTGCATCACAAGTACTGTTAGAGAAGTGTTACTGAAAACATATTTATGAAAAATATATAGTTTACCTTGGGGCGAAGAATTGTTTTCAGGTTCAGTAGATGAATTTGGTGGGCTGGTTAAAGCACGCTGGAGTATGACACTCGGTTGTTCAGCAACATTATCAGACCATTGTGGAAGGTTTGGTGAAACTCTTATTACGCTAGTGACTCCTTGAACAGGTCTAGCCTCTGGTCTGTAATAAAAGTGTTACATTAGAAAAAAAAAATATTCAAAATTGCGCTATGTATTTATAGAAATTATCTCTACTTTCAGTAATCATGCGCAATATGACGCACATTTTAATATGTTTGTAATCGTGTTTGAAACTTGAAGCAATTCATTTTGAATGCTTCATTTTTAGATTTATATGTACACATATTTGATATCTTTACAATTTTCCTTTTGACGTATTTCTCAGACAAAAATTTTCTGCCACTCCTGTGAATGATTATAAAATACTCTGTAGAAATAAATGTATCTATCTATCTATCTATCTATTCTTTCTTAGGACATTTTCATTTACTGCTCTTTTTGTACTCGACCAAAATATTGCTTATACAAGTTGATGAATAGTTTATTTTACATTCGATTTTTCATCCAAGGAAAAAACTTTCCATAACCTTAGATTTTCTCTTTTCCCTTTCATCATTTAATCCTCTAGGGTGATTCCACCTCCAATTCTGAAAGATCTCAAAATTATCCCTACATAAGGTACTGGTCAACTAAAGTTGTCTTAAAATGTTTCACTAATAACTTCGAAATAATAACTATTTTGCGATAGTTATTTTTTGTGTTTTATTTGCACTCAAGCATAGAAAATTAGCACTGAGGTAAGTTTCGCTTTTCAAGAGTGTTTCACGCCTAACTTCTGCACTTGTTTGTCACTCAGAACGACAGTTGCATCATCAGCATATAGAACAACGTTTGCTGTTTCAATGTAGGTTGGAAAATCGTTCAAATAGCTGATAAACAATAGCTTACCAAGAAGAGATCCTTGTGATACTCCACGTTTGGAAATTTTGGTATAAGATTTTACATGCTTGTATAATATATATGTATATTGCTACCTGTCCGTCAAGAAAGGGTGAATCAGAACAGAACTTTGCCTTTAAGAGCATCACACTCACTGTAATGAAACTATTGAAAACACTTTTCTCTCGCTAGAACAAAAATACCGTCTTTCGACGCGCGTTTCGTTAACCTAGTTAGTATCATCAAGACAATCATATCCTGATGATACTAACTTAGTTAGCGAAACACTCGTTGTAAGACAGATTTTGTTGTTGTGGTGAGTGAAAAGTGTTCCCATAGATTCATTTTACGTCAGATGTTCCGAATTCTACTCATCATGTAATGTTAATGATGTTATAGGCGCACCTGCTATTGGAATTTTTAAATGAAGCAATTACAGTTTGTGCTTTAGTTTCATCTGGAGGCTTGGAAAAATGAGTTTTTCAATGATATTTTCACCACGCCTGCACCGTCAGTATCCGGGCTAGTTGTATTTGCAATTAATCATTTGAAGTGTGGGCAGAAATGTCTGATTTTTTATGAACAACTTGTGTCTTTTTATTGAATTATTATTGCCCACGTAGTTTTACCAATATTTTCTATAGTTATAACTTCTTTGATTTTTGTTCCCATAATCACTTTTCATCTGTTCTGTTCTGTTTAAAATCTGTTTTTCCGTTAACCAGCTGTCGCACCCCTACGAACGACAACCCTCAGAAGTCGAAACTTGTGCGAGCTAAGGATTAACGATGTCTTAACTTTTAATATGTGATTCCTAACACGGGGTATACTTTTGTTTATATTTTTCACTATCATTCATTAACCAGAGCTCTTTCTGAATATTCACATAGTTCCTCTTCTGTTTCAGAACATAATCAAACCAATTGGTTTATGTGTCTCTCATTTACTCTCTCATTAAAAGCTACTTCACTCGCATATCTAATTTTCTCGCAAAAAAACGTAGCTAAAGAATTAAGATCGGCAAATGTGTAATGATTTGACCAAACTATCTTATTTATAATAAACCTAATTCAGACATGCCTACATTTGATATTCGTTTATTGAAAATTGTTTTTCCTACAATAGGTAATTCACAATGATCTGATATATTATCATTGATAACATTTGCATCTTTATGTTTTTTTGATTGAGTGATTAGTGACTTGAGTTCGTTCTTGTATTAAATACTGGAAATGGAATGCATTCGGTATATTGTAATGGAGTTACTATTTTCGCGTACAGAACTCATTTGTCTACGAGTATTCATCGGTTTTTCTATTCTCATACAGAATAATTGTATCTTGGTATAAAAAAAAACTTTCTTGCTAGAAAATATTCAGGAGTTGCGTGTATTAGTTCCGTTCCGCGAATGATGAAAACCACCTGGATAATTTCTGGCAATCCCGACCGTTATCCGTGGGGTGTGGCAACTAAACAGTTTACTCACCCATGAATTGTCCACCACCGCGCTGGCGACTAAAATAGTTGCCTCTCAGTTCAGTCTACAATGGATATCGTGGAAGCCACCTGTGCTGTTGCGCTTATTCTGAGACAGCAAAAAATTAAGCAAAGGAACAAAACGTTTTGGGTACATCCAATAATTATTTCACAACTTCTTGGCGGGCAATTTTATAAGCTCTTCGACAGATTGAAAGAACATTGTCGTCATTGCTTTGAAAAATAGGAAATGCACATGTACTCCTGACCAAGGCCGTCTAGCAACTGAATAGTTGACAATGCGCGAGGTTACGTAGAAATTCACGTTGCTCATTTCTGCCGGCAACTGTTTAGTTAACCTTGGAATAGGTCTAGACGCAATTATTTAGTCACGGCAACTTAAAAGTCGTCCGTGCGCGGGGCTGCATTCAATACCGTGTGCGTCATTTAGATTTCTTTAAAGCAACCAAACAGTTGCTTTGACAAAGTTGCCAGTGCGCGGGGGCCTTTAGGAAACATAAGTAGGTAATAATTTGAGTAAGTGCCTGTCCGCCGCCATCAGAGTTCGCGTTGCGACACGTTAGCAGCGGGTCTAGCTGTTTACTAGCATCGTCACGCGGCTCTTGCGTTTTCCGATCCTTTGTGGTATTCGCCACTTGGATCATCTGTTCGAAACTTCTCTCCGCGTATCCGGTCCTTTGTGGTATCCGCCACTTGGGCTTCTTTCTCTTCACACGTCTCCTTTTAAGTTTTCCGATCCTTTGTGGTATCCGCTACTTGGATCATATGTTCGAAACTTCTCTCCGCATTTCCGGCCCTTTTTGGTATTCGCCATTTGGGCTACCCTGGCTTCACGCTTCTTCTACGTTTTCCGACCCTTTCCACGTTTCCAGCCCTTTGTGGTATTCGCCACTTGGGTTATCTTTTCTTCGCGCATCACTTCTTACAATTTCCGGTCCTTTGTAGTATTCGCCACCTGGGCGGTAATTTTGTGAGCTATCGTCATTGCTCTCAAAACTTCGGGGTCGCACTTGCGGAATCCGAGGTGTCACTCGTAATTCGTATATTTATATGGGGTCAAAGAATACAGCTCGAGGTAACGGACAGGCATTATTTTTGAAGTGAATTGCGCAGAGGTTCTAGTACCCGCTTGCTTCATTAATCGTGGTGATTGCGTGCTACCTACCATTAGCCCGCTTAGCTTATTTTAAACCCTTGCCGTTTTGTTACCATACTCACTTCGTTGCACGCCCCTCTGTCCCTATTACTAGTTAGAGACCGTATAGTAGAGTTGATTTGGTTTAAATAAAGAGTTAAAACAAATCTGTTCGTTTATTTTTTTATGATAGTAAAATATCTTTGCAGCTGATAAACAGGTTGAATTCCCGGCAAAATCAGTAAAATCTGACTTTCTGGCTACCGATTTTGTCTAGTTCACACAGATCCCCTAGACTCCTAGACTACCGTTTCTTCACTGTAGCTGACCGGTGTAGTGGTGTTTGTTTGAAGGTGATTGACAATGCTTCATGATTAATTTCATTAGTTCGGACTTCCATTGTCTCGATATTATATAAAATGATTTGAAATCCTTGAAAGAACNAGACTATTAGGGATCTCACACTAACCATTTTATTTCCTTGAGAAATAATGGCTCATTTACGAAGCGATTTTTTTACTAATTTCTGAATTTCATTAAATTTACTTTGAGTTACCTTTTTTCACAGGCTTCTGATGACAATTGTCACTGTTTTTTTCTAAATTTTTTGAGCATTAAAAACAAAGCTTTCATAATTTGACGACTGGAATGAATTTGTCTACGACCTTATAAGTTATCAAGTTAAAATTTGTTGTTCCTGCTTTATTTTCAATTATCACTGAATTATTCGAAAAATTTAGATTTCAAAATAATCAAAAAATACTGGCTGAATAGAAGAGAAATCATAATATTTAAATCGAATTTTTCTAAAATCCATCAGTTATGATTAATTTTCAGACCCCCTCTGCTAACCACAATGCCATAAAACAAAGTGCTCTGGTGAAAGTTATTGTCATTATTTGATTATTAGTTTTGTTTTGATTGTTTATTTTAAAATGAGTAATATTGGGTGACTCATTTTGATAACATTTTTGACAAATTCTCTCTACCACGAATTGATATGTTGCAATCGCAAATAAAGCGTATCACATCCTTTGAAAAGTGTTTTTTTTTATTTTTCATGTGGCATCGGTTTTTTTTTCAAAAAGATAAATGTCTCCGAACCGAATATAATAATGGCAGATCAGACAGTTCCGCTTTCTGCTTCGATAACTTTGGGGGTTGAAAAGGACACCTACGTGTCTTGGCACAATCATGTCGCTGGAATTGCAAAGGCTGCTATTCAAAAGCTTCGAACACTGTTCCGAACCAGAAAACTGCACACACCTCAGCAACTTTTGATGCTCTATAAGGCTCAGATCAGACCTTCTTTAGAGTATTATTCTCATGTATGGAGCTCCGCCCCCAAACATACCCTGAAGCTGCTGGGTTCTATCCAGAAAGGAGCCCTATGCCTAATTGGAAACGCGAACATCACTTGCAACCTTGATAGTTTGGAAAATCGAAGAAAGGTTGGAGATATGTCTCTTCAATAGATACTTTCGCTGAAAGTGTTCAAGTGACTTGGCACATTTGATTCCAACAAGAGCGGTATATATCAGAAATACCCGACGAACTGTGACTCTCATCGTTTTGAGGTTCAACTCAGT